TTGTGTCATATTCTGGGTAAAGTCGACAACATTCTCGTCATCACCCTCATCATCTATCTCGCCATCATCGTCCTCAATATGAATGTCCTTATTCAATAAGTCATCGCCCGGATCAACTGTAGCAATATAGTTATGAAGTATAGAACAAGCCAAAACTATATCAACTTGGGTAGGAAAAGGATAATGAGGCTTTGCTGTGAGGATTTTGAAACGATTCTTCAATAATCCAAAGATCGACTCAATTTTGGACCTTAGTGATGAATGTCGTAAATTGAATAACTCTCTTCTGTTATTTATCGGCCTACCCTTGTGCTTATTTAAATGGTAACGTACTCCACGATAAGGGGAGATGAAGCCAGGCATCGTTGTGTAACCCGCATCACACAAATAATATTTGCCTACAATTATAAACAACACATTGTAGTAAATAGCTATATTTATGTAGATTATAATTGAATATTAAATTTAGTCATTAATAATTAATTACCATCGTAGACCCTCAGCCCATGAGGCTGAGGTCGTGAAAGTGCATCTTGTAACACTCTATAATCGTTTGCAGATCCCTCCCATCCAGCTATTGGCTACAACTGGAGTTTTAGTCTCCTCGAAAACTGTGTGGATCTTACGTATAGCCTTGGGGCTAAGGGATCCGGAGGAGAGGGCCTCCTCGTATTTGGCTTGATCAAACTCGATAATCAGAGTTTCAACGGTCGTTCCAGTGAGATGAACGTCGGATTGCACCACCACTTCTTCGTCAGAGAAGCTTGTCCCCAGCGGAGTCGCCATCTTTTGTTTGTTGGAAATTTGCAGTAAAAAGACAGTGAAAGAAAATTTGACTTGTATTCCTCTCAAAATCAATTACAATTTGGATTCCGATTACAAAAGAGAGGAGAATGAATTTGATTCTCCCCTTTATTTAAAACTGGGTTCTTCACGGTGGCGATGAGATGCCTCCCTCGAATGCTCGCGTCGAGTTTGCTTCTCGTTGACGATCCGAACGTCTTGATTCACTGGAACGTGGTCTTCTCCTCACGATTTGACGCTGTGGAGAACTTGCGTGGCAAGTTTGAAAATAACTCTTAACGAGTTGATAACTCAGAGCGAGTTTTAGAAGAACTTGCAGAGCAAGTTTTGAACTCTGATCGAGTTGATAACTCTGAACGAGTTTGAAACTCTATGGAAGAGTTGATTTAAACCGAAAGTTCGGTTAACAAGCCAAGGAAGAAGCTCCTGTTGCTGGTCTCCAAAACTCTAACAATTCCCCTCCAAAGTTAGCCAAAGATCTCTCCTTTGCTCCCTCCGCAAGAAAAGGATCCAAGAGCCCCAGAGAAAAAGCCCCAAACTCAGTTGAGTTTTTCCCTATTTATAGGGGATTTAGGGTGGTAACTACCCCCTTAATCCACTCCTAAGTGGGGCGAAAATCCCTCAGAACGTGGGATAAACGGTTTTGAAACCGTTCTGTTAGTGTTTTGAACGAGTCAAAACGCTGAAAACAGCGTTCTGGGCCTTAACTCTGCGTCTTATTGATGAGACGCAGAGTTAGGCACTTGCTGGGAGTTGAAAACGCAAGGTTCTGAAAACGCACAGTTCGTGCTGTTTTAGAGATTAACTCTGCGTTTTGATGTTGAAAACGCAGGGTTGAGCCTGTTTTAGGCTGAAAACGCACAGTTCATGCTGTTTTAGAGATTAACTCTGCGTTTTGATGTTGAAAACGCAGAGTTAAGCCTGTTTTAGGCTGAAAACGCACAGTTCGTGCTGTTTTAGAGATTAACTCTGCGTTTTGATGTTGAAAACGCAGAGTTAAGCCTGTTTTAGGCTGAAAACGCACGGTTCGTGCTGTTTTAGAGATTAACTCTGCGTTTTGATGTTGAAAACGCAGAGTTGAGCCTGTTTTAGGCTGAAAACGCACAGTTCGTGCTGTTTTAGAGATCAACTCTGCGTTTTGAGGTTATAACGCTGGTTCGACCTGTGCGCTTTGACTCTGTAATGCAGAGGCGAACCTTAGGCGGGCTTGGCGAGCTTCATGCTAAGTCCAACGTTCTGACGAAGTCCAGTCTTGCAGACGGACTTCAGAGCATAACTTGCTACGAAGAACATGTCATAACTTTCAAACCGTAAGTCGGAATTAGACGAATTATATATGAAAATCGGCTATCTCGACGAGACGGGGCCATCCGAACCAAGCCAAAGGCTTCGGTTCGCTTCCTCCGTTTCGCCAAATTCCTTACGGTTTGAGAGATATCTGCATTCTAATATGAAGAGACCGTCAATTTGTAGTCTCTTTTACCAGAGCTTTGCACAGATCGTCCTCTTGTAATCTCCGTCTTGGCTCCTTGAAAATATGAGAGTCGTCAGATTGTAACTCCCGATGTTGATTGTGAATGCTGTTGAATTAGAGCTTTCATTAGTTGTTGTGAAGGTCGTCAGATTGTAACCTTCTACGTGAAAGTCCTCAAATTGAAGCCTTCTGGAAGTCGTCAGATTATAACTTCCATCATCAGTGTTTGATGGGGGATCAACTATCTATTGTGATTTTTAGACAGCCTACACTTTAACACCACGTGAATCCTGCAGTAGGCCCGTGACTCTCATTATTCTAACCAGATTTTCGAATGCCTGCGGCCTCATTCTAACATAATCCCTACAGCTTTGACTATAGCCCAAAAATACACGGTTGATGTGGGCATTTCTAGATTCTATCTTTTTCTGTTTTCCCTCCCTATGATGACAAGTGATAGTTTTTTTTCTAGCACGAATTCTCATTAAACAAGTCAACACAGTAACGATGGCAGACATAGTGGCATTACTTGACATCCTCATTAGTGTATCAGCATCCATCTCATCCATCTACAACAGTTAAATAAACATTTTTAAACACATGCAAAAGCTTAAACGCAAAGTCATCTCTATAGCTAACCAATTATAAATAAAATTATAGAGAAAATATTGTTAAATATCAGATTTTAACAGAAATTATCTCAACGTATAGCAGTAAACATACATCAGCATAATACTAACGTCTTCAACTAGCAGATAAAAAAAATTTAGTATTGTTTGAATATAACCAAACATCAAACGCAATCAAGTATCACAAAGTTTTAAAAGATTATACCTTTGCTATGTTTTCGAGCAGATCCGAAGGGCCTTTAGGTGATTACTTAAGTAGGAAAACCTATACCAGAAATCAAGACGTTAGAACTGCAGAATAGGGTGAGGGGGGTGAACCGAGGTCACTGATCTAAGAGCAAACCGCATCGCAAGAACTACGCCGGCAAGCTACCTGAAAACCCCCAAAATCACACTGCAGAAGCCTTTGTAAACCTCCAAACAATAAGAAATTTCATCTCGAACTCAATAGCTAGGGTTCGACAAGGAGGAAATCAACAGGGGGATCAACATTACACACAAATATGCTCGCGATTGAGCAAAAATTGGTTGATTTTTTTTGTGAAACGACGGGAAGTAGAAGAGGGAAATGGAGAGGCGGGGGTAACGAGAAGCGGTGAGCCCTAAGGACGGTTTTGTACGTGACGAGAAAAACGGAGAGGCTAAAAAGCTGAGCTGGCCCTTTCATTTCCAAAAAATACCCATTTCCGAACTTTTAGACAGGATTTCGCCGTTCCAAAAAAAACACTATTTGACAAGGTTTTAGGAAATCATTTCTTAAAAAAATGAAACAAACGCAGTTTTTGGATTTCTAAAACCACACAAATGTTACTTTTTGTTCCAAAAACCGGGTTTTCCAAAAAAACACCCTCAAACAAACAGGCCCTAAAGCATTGATCTTTTTACTCAAATTCGAAGAAAAATGACACGTGTCAATTTGGTTCATGGTTGATCCTTTGCATTATGGATCCAAAAAGAATTGGTCAACAAATAATGATATTGAGTACAGGAACAGGAAGAAACTGAAGGGGCATGTGGACAGAGAATAACTTAAAGATAGGTGCAAACGATTGCTTCAAAGCAGCAACATCCCAAAACCAGATGTGCAATGGACGTAACTCTATAAGGTAAAAAAAAAGGTAAATTACACTAAACCCTTAAAAAAAAGGTAAATTACACTAAACCCAAAGAAGGAGAGAGATGAGAGTTACACACACTTAAAAACAAAGGTTAAATTACGCTAAACCCCTAAAGAGCATCTCCAACCCAAAAACCCAAAATGATGTAGTTTTTATACCAAATCATTATTTTATCTCCAATCATTACACCAAATTTTACATCAAAAAGAATATTCCTTCTATTTACAAACTATAAGATGGGATATGGTTGAAATATTTGATTTGTTATAACAAACTATAAGGACAAACTTGGGAAAAACCAAAATCTTCATATCTACAGTGTTGCGTCATTCCTGACGTAACACTGTAGCACTCTTTTAAAATGACGCTTAGTTTGGCGTTGGGTTGGAGGAAGAATTGGTGCTGAATTTGCGTCAAAATAGGTTTTTAGGGTTGAACTTTTTGGTGTTTTGCATTAAACCCCCAGTAACTTTCAAAATCACACTAAATCCTCAATAACCTTTTGGAATTGCCCAAAAGCGAATAAGTTTCCATATTTTGCAGAAACCCCCATCAATTAAACCAAAAAACAACATAAAAAGGCATTTTGAATGTTGTTGGGTGTTTGGTGCAACTTGCATAAAAGATATTGGGGTTTCATGCAACAGTTATTTGGTCTTTAGTGTGATTTTGAATTTTTTGTTTTTCTCAAAATCCTTGGGGTTTACCCCAGAAAAAAAGAGAGAGGTTAATCTCAAACAGAACACACAAACAAAAACTCAAGTCATGAATCCTATAGTTTTACACGGTGAATAGCTAACACTGATATAACAGGATCAAAACCACCAAAGAATAGGTTACCTCTACAAGCCTCGCCGCGTTCCAAATCATCAAGGTCTGTTAAAAAATCAAAATAGAAGATGAACTTGAAGCTTCAAAAGCATAGCAAGACAATTATGCATTCTACTTTAAGCAATGATGAAACAATTTTCCAAATGAGAAGCTGAAACTAGGCACTCTCTGTGCTCTAATAACAGTTAGAAAAAGAAATGAATGACAATACAGCTGCAGCTGCTTATATCATAGCCGATTCATTTCTGCTGAAGCAGTGAGAGTTCTGATATAAGCCTACAGTGTTAGTCATGTTAGCCATCAATTCCACTGAAATCTTTGATTCAGCAGTTAATACTTGAAGGAAGAAGATTTAAATCAAGACTGATCACAATGAAGAATTTACTACAATGCAACAAATTCCTCGCATAATTCCACTTAATATAAAATTAACTACTCAGTTCGCTTTCTAGACTTTTGTGGGTGGTTCAACCGTTCAAAGTAATGGTTGCCCTTCAAGTCTGAATCCTGTAGCAAATCCTTTTCAGAATTCCCTTCTCTGTGTCTCTTCTGATGCCTACAAAATTCCTTTAAAATAAGTACAACATTTGGTGAACCCAATTGAAGATAATCAAAACAGACTAAAAACTAGCGCGCACATTATACAGAATACTTCCATTTGTGCATTTCTAAGTTAGCTCCAGGCTTTTTGGTTTGAAATTATTTCACTGGAAATAGCAAAAGCATTCTATGATTTGATTCCTTGTTCAAATGAGCAACAAAAGGAAGTTGGATGAGCAAAGCAATAGACTCAAAACCTGTCAATATGTGATGCATCATATATGCCATGTTTGGCTAACCAAGGAACGCATCCAGTGTCTGGCGGGATTAAAGATCCACTAATGTGGAGTAGTTCTTTATCAAAACTACATGCCAAAAGAAAATTAAGTTGAGGAACGCTGCTAGTATTAGTGAATGCACGTTGTAAGAATACCACAACGTATGAACAGTAATGTAACCAAAACTATGTTGCAAATACACTTTTTTTGGTATGTACTATGTAACCTTTTCTTTTGTTTATAAAAATCATAAGTTATCCTTTTATAATGGATCACGGAATAAAAGCAAAAGGAAATTAGAAATTAGTAGGATAATGTTCACCCAACTAAAACTTGCATGACATGACGAGTCACTAATACATTAAGTAGTAAAAATGGCTCGAATTGCAACTCTATATGAATACCTTAGATCTTTAAGAAACAATCACACCACTGAGGGTCTTCTAGATAAAAAGAGGACCAGTTATAGGCCTCTTACGTAATCAGCACCATGTTGATTAATCATGCATATGAAGGTCAGCTAACATTTTGATTGGAACTTTCATAAATTACATCTTCCTGACAAGAAAAGGGTCAGCTCTCAATAAAGATGAGCATCATGTCTTTTGACTCAACATGTAAGACGAGGTAGATACCACTATAACAGCAGAAAAGCAACAATGTGATAGTTCAATGGTCAACTTCTAAATAACAAGCCAATATCATCATGCTCAATTTCTACGATATCTCCAGTAGTTGCATCACTTATGCCGATCAAAGTGGTGTGCATAAATAAATTCATATCTCACTGGCAACCAACCAACCAACCAAAAAGTAAGTTGTCCCTTTTAATTAAACTATATTGAACAACCTGGCTCAGTGGCTTAATTTGTCAAATCAATATTATAGGGTTTTTAAATATTAGTCCCTTAAATCTTTAATATTTAGTATTGGACCCTCAAATTGTTGAAATTTGCTTTGGGCCCTACAATTCTTGTAAGTTGTTTCCAAATTAGCCCTTCCAATTCTTGTAAGTTGTTTCAAATTAATCCCTTCGGTCAAGAGTAGCAGTAACAAGGTATAAGAATTGGAGAACCTAATAGCAAATTCAATGATTTAAGGGACTACTTTCCGAACATTAAAGATTTAAGGGACTAATATCAAGAAAACCCTAAGATATATATAATGAATAGAGAAGTAATAAGTAGTTTGATAGAATTACCCATCCCAAATAATTTTCTTAGATGCAACAAAGTAAAACATCGAATTGACATGCAAAGAAAACTTCAGGTAAAAGGTATCATATTTAACTTGCTGTTTCCTTTTCTTACAGATTAATGTGAACTAGGATTGCAATTTGCAACTAAACCCGATACACTTGTTTATAGTTTTAATTACTGAACAATCAAGAATCTTACCGCTTCAATTATATGATCCATTTTGACTCATCAAGAAAATTTTACTGATCCGTAAAAGTTTACTATGAGAATTTGAACAGACCAAAGTGCAAAAAGTTCCCCCCCCCATTTGAGCACAGATGTTTAATTTTTTTTACGGTCCAATATTAGGTGCTTGACTACTGTGAGGTACATTGAAAAGGTTCTGATACAACAGAACTTTATAAAATTAAACAGTATTCGTTAAAAACAGAGAGATAGAGAAAGCAATTGACACAAATAAGCGAACACAATTCTTAGTTTTGACAGCTCACCTTTTGACTGAGAATCGAACAATACTTCCGACCTTAATCACATGTCTTTTGTGAGATGTACTAGAAAAAACCTCTTCACCATGCTTCTGCAAGGGGAACATGGAATGCTGAAAGTCACTAATTACTGATCTGTAACTCAAAATGTTGGAAGGACCAACAAATTCTCACTATATTAAATTTGAGCTCCTTCCGTATATCTTCTGACATAATGGATGCTGAAGAAAATCCCAGTACAATAGCATGAATGGATTCCTTTCCCAGCTTCACGACCTTTCCTTCTGAAGTAACAACACATTGTTTAATCATGACGAGCTATGTTACATAAAACTGATATACTAGAAGTCTAGAAAAACATACTGTGCGGTCAATTCAATAAAGAAAATGGCTCAAGGATAACAAGCACTCTTCATTAACTGGCAACAAATATATCTTTATTTTCAAACATAAAAAGTTCAATCTATAGTCTGATAGGGTATCCTATACAGTTTAAAGATGAAATGCATCCATAGGTTTTCATATAATACAGTATTTATTTAATCAGATTATACAGAGGTCTACCAGCTGCCCCTGCAATTATTTTCCAAAGGGTGAAGAAGCAGACGGCAGACTGTTTCGTGAATGGCTATCACCTTCAAATCAATGATCCACTACCCCTTCTGATTAAACCTTGCTCTTTCTACTAAAAAAGACTCTGGCTTTTAAGCACGGTCAGAAGTCAGCCATTTGGGAATAATTTGGCAAGTTCAGAATCCAGAAAGGATCTGGAATATTGAGGAATTATTTGGACGAAAGCTAGGGACAAATATACATGAGGAAAGCCATAGGATTATACACAGTTAACATTGCATTCAGATTTATTTAATTTGATAGGATGATCACAAGCTTGAGACCCATTGTCTTGATTTTCCACATGCATTTATATAATTGTTCACATTCAGGTAACTATTGATTCACAGACTTAGGGATCCATGGTACAAATAACAACAATTCAAATTAGCACAAATTTTAACAAGTGCCATATCCAAGATGCATTGATGAATTATTCTCTAAATTTGTCGTATCATGTAACTGTAGCACACCTTATCCTGCCCGTATTACATATCTGTATGAATATAACATAGGCACACCGCTTAGTGTGAACATAACATAAGCCCACTGTTTAAGAAGCCGCCTCGAGTGCCTTTTACAATGGGGTACTATCTGAGGTATTGAATTCTACTTGAAAATGTTAAACTGCAGAATTTCGCTAGGATATGTTTGCTCATGCTTTGGTCATGTCTGCCACCCATTTATAAAGAAATCTGTTCCTCCTCTTTGTTGTTTGGTAATTAAGGCATTAAATTTATTATCTAACTTCAAAAGGGATTTGTTAAATAGTCTATGGACAATAAGTGAGTAATGAAACAAAAAGAATCCGGGAAGCATCAGAGTAATAACACGAACAATTCTTTTCTAAGACTGTAACCAGAGGAAAATAGAACTTGTTTACAGTGATCAAGAAAGTAATATGATCTTGATGTTGACCAATGTTGTTTCCAATGTAGCACCGAAGAAATACAAACAAGGATAGCTTTAAATAAAACTAACAATCACATGATTATATGGAAGTAGTTAGAAGATGATGTGATAAAAGTAAAAGAAGTAACTTCTTCCTTAGAAAAGAGAAGGAAGAGGATCAGGCTATGAAAGAAAACTTAGACAGATTGAGTAGAGATGCGTCATTAGTCAACATCATTAAGAACCTGAAAAAAGAACCATCAAAGGCAATATACCTACAAGCATGTTCAGCATTGGAGAAAAGAGTAACAAATTAGCTTTCAGTTCCGCCCCAAAATTTGGGATTAGTCTTGGAAGAATCTTACAACATGTACTCTTAATATCCACTTCAAAAGCCAAGATAACACCATCAAAGACCTCACTATATCTGCAAGAAGACAAATTTAAGATTCATAAATGAACAAGGTTATTCAATTCATTTAAATTATCTTTTTCATCACACTTTAGACTACATAATCTCTGCTACTTACAGCAGCACTCCAAGTAAATTACAGTAAGCACATAAGAACTGATGAACCCTTCAAATGAAAAATAGCTCATATATAAATTTTCTACAGGTAAAGGATCCAGCAGACTCTAGATTGGATCATAACTTGAGAGGAGCAAAAAGCCCCCTGCAATGATAGGCAACATGGTACAGGACGTCATGGATCAGTGGCACCATTTACATCTGTGTCATGACAAGGAGAAGGCTACTTGCACAAGATAACTTTTCTCCTTCTTCCCTACATTTTAGTAAGCCTCTTACGTTATTGATGCAATTATCAGAGTTGTATTTTGGGGTCTAGACTTATGCTTAATGCTTGTATAGCTTCTTCCTTGTGGGAAACCATATGCCAACTATGTTATGATATCGATCTTGAATATGGTTGATGCCACTGATGAAGAAGGATTGTGATGACATCATGAGTGTTAGAACAAGTAATTTGGTCACTTTTGGTAGTTGCATTGTCATGTTATGGATGTAAATTTGTTATCACGCTAAAGCTTATTTTTAAGGCACTTAGGATTGACTCTTTAAAGTATTATATTTGGTTGTTTCATTAAGAGCTACGGCGAAAACAAGGGAGAGGTTGCACTGAGGGTTGTGCATGCATACATGTTTGTTGGTTTGGGCGAGAACGACAACACTAGCTACATAAAGGAGAATCTATTACCACACATACATGAATGAGATGTCTTATTTTCATGATAAACTTTTAGATGTTTCAATCTCGGCATACTTTGTAGTAATATCGAAAGCATGTGGAGTAGATCGATTACAAATAACTGAGCTGAGAAAGCATAGCTGATAATGCTCTCGCCTAGGGAACACGGATGTTAGTCTGGCCGAAAGATAATATCTCGCGTATTAATCTCAATGTGACTGTGAGGCACGAGTACTTCTACTGCCTCTGATGCTGTTATTTCTGGCCATGGCAGATCTCAAGAAGAAGAATTAGAAGAGAAATTGAAAGAAGATGAGAAAGATAGAGATATGAGACAGAGATAAGATGTATCAAGAGAGGAAGAGAACTGATTATTCATTTCATATCGTATTCCTTGTACGACACTGTATTTATACATCCTGTAATTGATATTTCAGTCTGTGCACGTGCACAGCAGCAGTGCTGAACAGAATGTAACAGAATATGGACATTTAGTTACATACAGTTGATTGTAACTATTTATTACAGTGTGTGATCTTTATGTTCTCTTCCTTTTGCATTCAAGTCCAACTATTTGTGTATCAGTTGCATATCAGTCCATGTGCTTCAAACTGAACATGCACTTAGCCGATTCAATGCTCTTGAGCTGCAGCACCTGACAACTTCCCACCCCTTAAATTTAACCTTGTCTCAAGGTCAAAAGTTGAAAATCTCTTGACTAATTCCCAGTAAGACTCCCAAGTAGAATCCTCAACTGGATGTTGTTTCCATTTGACTAGAATCTGGGGAATCAAGTGTCTTCCTTTAATCACTGTCCTCCTGTCAATAATCTGTTCAGGTTCATCAATTATTTCAGTCATGTAAGAAGGAGGATCATCTTGAAGTAGCACCTCATTTCCAATCCTTTTCTTCAGCTGAGATACATGAAAAACAGGATGGATTTTAGACTGAGGAGGCAATGCCAATTTATATGCAACTTCACCAATTTTATCCAAAATCTGGTAATGGCCATAGTATCTAGGAGAAAGTTTGTGGGTTTTGCAAGAGGATACACTCAGTTGCCTGTAAGGTTGTAATTTGAGAAAAACCCAGTCTCCCACAACAAAACTTCTGTAACTGCGATGGTTGTCAGCATATTTCTTCATTTGCTCAGCTGCTTTCTTCAAACTGTCTCTAAGGAGTTGCAAGGTAATATCTCTGGAAAACAGAGCTTCATCAACAGCCTCCACTTTACAACTTTTAGGGATATAAGATAGTAAAGAAGGAGGTTGTCTCCCATATACCACTTCAAAAGGAGTGGCCAAAGTTGAGCTCTTCCAACCTGTGTTATACCAAAACTCAGCGAGAGCTAACCATTTAGTCCACTCTTGTGGTTTATGACAGCAAAAACATCTGAGATAGGTCTCCAAACTCTTGTTGGTAATTTCAGTTTGGCCATCAGTTTGTGGATGGTAAGCTGAACTGAATTTGAGTTTACTGCCCTGCAGTTTAAACAACTCTCTCCAAAAAAGACTAGTGAATAGAGAATCCCTGTCACTGACTATTGATTTTGGTATGCCATGCAACTTAAAAACCCCTTCAAAAAACACCTGTGCCACTGATTGTGCTGTGAATGGACATGAAAGGGCAAAGAAGTGTGCATACTTAGACAATCTGTCAACCACAACATAGATAGCAGTTTTATTCTCACTTGTTGGCAAGTGTGTGATGAAATCCATGGATATGTCCTCCCACACATAATTAGGCACAGGTAAAGGTTGTAACAGCCCTGGAGAGGCTACATTCTCACCTTTTGCTCTCTGGCATGTGTCACAAGATTGTATATAATGCTGTACATCTTTTTTAATCCCCTTCCAATAGAAAGCTCTTCTTAGTCTATGCAAGGTCCTAGTGATCCCAGAATGTCCTGCCATGGGACTGTCATGGTGCTCACTTAATAAAGAGTTTTTGATGTTATGAGTAGTGGGACTTATTAAAAGTCTGCCTTTGTAAAAATACATTCCCTGTTTCTTACAGTACTTGTCAGTATCCAGCTTTCCCTGAGACATCTTTGCATCCAAGTCTTGGAAGAATTGGTCTGTAGAATACATGAGTTGAATATCCTTCAACCAATCATTACTAAGTGTTGTCACAGCTGAAACATGTACAGAACAGTCTGGCCTTTCCTCTTCATTTTCAGTAATTCTGGATAATCCATCTGCTGCTCTATTTAATTTCCCAGGCTTGTATTCAACTCTATAATCAAACCCATGCAACTTGGCAAGCCATTTATTTTGTATCCCAGTATGAATCCTTTGCTCCAGCAGGTATTTGAGGCTATGGTGGTCAGTCCTGATTACAAAAGACCTGTCCAAAAGATATTGCTGTCATTTCTTGGTAGAAAGGATAATGGCCAAAAGTTCTCTCTCATATGTGGACAATGCAGTGTTGCTTCCTTTCAAGGCCAAACTGAAATAAGAAATGGGTCTGTCCTGTTGCATTAATACTGCCCCAATTCCATAGCCAGAGGCATCACATTCAATTACAAATGTTTGACTAAAATCTGGTAGAGCTAGGACTGGTGGTGTTGTGAGTGCTTTTTTCAATTCACTGAAGGCTTCCTCAGCACTAGTATTCCACACAAAGGCTCCTTTCTTCAAGAGTTGTGTCAATGGTCTGGCCATCATACCAAACCCTATAATAAATTTCCTGTAGTACCCTGCCAATCCAAGAAAACCTCTCAGTCCCTTCAGGGGTTTTGGCACAGGCCATTCAATAATAGACTTAATTTTGTTAGGATCCACATTGACCCCTTCCTGTGATACAATGTGCCCTAGATATTCTACTTGTTGCTGTCCAAAGCTGCATTTAGAGAGCTTAGCCACTAACTGATGAGTCTTCAGAATCTGGAATACTTGTCTCAAGTGCACCAAATGCTCCTTCCATTCTTTACTATACACCAGAATATCATCAAAGAAGACTAAGACAGATTTCCTCAATAACTCCTTAAATACAGTGTTCATGAGTGCTTGAAAGGTTGAAGGGGCATTTGTGAGACCAAAAGGCATAACCATAAACCCAAAGTGTCCACTGTGTGTTCTGAATGCAGTCTTTGGTATGTCCCCTTCATACATTCTAATTTGATGATAACCTGATTTCAAATCCAGTTTAGTGAAAAAATTTGCACCATTCAACTCATCTAACAACTCATCAATCATAGGAATAGGAAACTTGTTCTTAATTGTAGATTTGTTGAGAGTTCTGTAGTCAATGCACATCCTCCAACTCCAATCATTTTTCTTAACCATCACCACTGGAGAAGAGAATGGACTGTTGCTGGTTCTTATGATTCCTTTGTCCAGCATTTCCTCCACTTGTTTCTCAATTTCATCTTTCAAAAAATGAGCATGTCTGTATGGTCGAATGCAAACTGGTTTAGTTCCCTCTTCCAAAGGAATTCTGTGGTCTATGTCTCTCTGAGGTGGTAGTTGAGGTAATTCTTGAAATACACCTTGAAACTCTTGTATTAACTGCTGCATATCACTAGGTAAATCTCCAGTAACATCCAGTTTCCCAGGCTCCTGTAGAGTCACACTGCATAATTGAATCAGAAATCCTTCCTCTTGCTCTCTAAAAGACTTGTCAATAGTCTTTTCATTAACTAACTGTAGCTTATCAGGAATTATTCCCTGTAAAGTTCTTTTTACTCCTTCACTGATAAAGGTGACCTGTAGTTTCTTAAAGTTCAAGGTAATATCCTCCAAGGTTCTCATCCAGTCTGCCCCTAATACAATTTGGCTTCCTCCCATTGGCATAACCAGTAAATTAGTCAGTATTTGCACTCCTTGGCAATCCAACATGACTCTCTGACAGATTCCAGCTCCTCTAATCAACTCACCATTGGCCACCAGAACATTGAACTCCTTAGATTCTACTACATTCAACCCCAGCCTCTTCACTAACTTATCATTGATAAAATTATGAGTAGACCCAGAATCTATAAGGATACTGACAGCTTGATTCTTATAATGACCCATCACTCTTATGGTATGAGCAGCATTGATCCCATTTAATGTTTGAATTGATATAGAAGGAGCTCCTTGCATCCAGTTTCCATCCCTTTCCTCGGCCATAATTCCTTCCCCTACTGCACCACAGTCCTCTTCATTTTCTTCCAACTGTTCATCTATGACCCCATCTAATATATAAAGTTGCTTTCCTTTACAATTACGCCCCCTATGCCACTTTTCATCACAGGTGAAACACAAATTTTGACTTCTCTTTCGTTGTATTTCCTCAGGAGACATTTTCTTGAACTGAGTAGTTGGATGAAGATTTTCTTTAACAGGTACAGGGTGATGTGTGTTGGCTGTGTGTCCTCCGTGATTGTACACATTCCAATTACCTTTAGACTTCCTATCATTTTTTTGCTTTTCTTCAAATAATTTTGCCAAAGAGACAGCTTCCCTCAAAGAACTAGGTCTTGCAGCCGCCACTTCATACCTCAATTCTTCTTTAAGACCACCAATAAATTTTTCAAAAATGTGTCTCCTAGAAGGTTGATCATTCAATAGGCTTAAAGCTTGTTCAAATTTGCCCAGATAATCTCTAACTGTAGCGGTTTACCTTAAAGAAGAGAAAGCATCATATGGTCGTGAGAGTTCATTTGGACCAAACCTAGTAATTAATTCTTCTTTAAACACATCCCAATGGTTAAAATTCTCAATGTTCCTAGCAAACCACCTGTACCATTGTAGAGCTTCACTCCTCAAATAGAACGAACAGACTTTGACCCATTCATGAGTTTGAATATCATAATAATCAAATATTTGTTCAGTCTGATCTAGCCATGATATTACATCTTCAATTCCAGAAAAGGAAGGGAAATCCAAGCGCAAAGACTTTGGTTGAACTAGTTTTTGATTGTTAAAGAACGAATTCTTCTGAGTTGAGAGATTACCAAAACTGTGAGTTAGCTGAAAATCCTCTTGGAAAATAGATTCTCTTTGATCCTGGAGGTTGTATCCTTGATCAAAGCTTTTCTTGCTGGATTCTTAAACCCTTTGCCTGAAAATATCTCTGTCATCCTGTGATCCTGAACCTTGAATTCTGCGATCTTCCCTAGGTCCTGATCCTAAGATTCCTTGGTTAGTTCCCTCTCTTTGCCTGGAAATCTCCCTGTCATCTTGTGATCCTGAACCTTGAGTTCTGCGATCCTCCCTAGGTCCTGATCCCAAGATTCCTTGGTTATTCCCCTTTGAGTTCTTGAGTTCTTGGATTAAGATTTCCATCTGAGAAGCTAAGCCATCCAATTTTGCTGAATTCTCCTCCAATCTTGTAGATGTTTGCTGGTTGATAGAGCCTTGTTGTTGAAGAATTGCCTTTTGTTGTTGAATTGCATCTTCTACTCTGAGAATTCTCTCATTTGCAGTCATTTCTTCAGCCCTTGTTTCCTCATCATTGCCCAGGAATCCTTCATCAGCAATTCCTTCTCCTAAATGCTCTGATACCAATTGTGAGGCACGAGTACTTCTACTGCCTCTGATGCTGTTATTTCTGGCCATGGCAGATCTCAAGAAGAAGAATTAGAAGAGAAATTGAAAGAAGAAGAGAAAGATAGAGATATGAGACAGAGATAAGATGTATCAAGAGAGGAAGAGAACTGATTATTCATTTCATATCGTATTCCTTGTACGACACTGTATTTATACATCCTGTAATTGATATTTCAGTCTGTGCACGTGCACAGCAGCAGTGCTGAACTAACTGTAACAGAATGTAACAGAATATGGACATTTAGTTACATACAGTTGATTGTAACTATTTATTACAGTGTGTGATCTTTATGTTCTCTTCCTTTTGCATTCAAGTCCAACTATTTGTGTATCAGTTGCATATCAGTCCATGTGCTTCAAACTGAACCTGCACTTAGCCGATTCAATGCTCTTGAGCTGCAGCACCTGACAGTGACTCCGAGCTTTTAGCATATGCATTGTTTGACCAACACTTGAAATTTTTTAGTAGTCAGCCTCGTAGTAGATTCAACAAAAGTATCCAAACCCTAATCCACCATAGCGGATCTCAAAATCTTAATTAATGATGAAATTTAGCTCAAGTGGTGGGTTGGCTTAGAAACTCCTCATCAAAATTGGCTTCAATGGACGCATTTAGGGCTTCTTTAATCACAATAAATTGTACGCCTATATACGAAATCCCTAAAGCAGTCACCAAAATTTAAATAACATATGTTAAGTGAAATAATAAGAAATCGAGCATCGCTACAGATAAATATTCATAAAAATTTAAAATGTACAAATTAACTAACGTGAAGAGAAGAGAACTGAGTTGACGGAGGATGGCATGACGAGAATTTCTGGCTTTTGATGGGTGAATGTATACCGTTAGATTCGCGTCGACGACCCTCAGCCCTTCCATTGAGAATCGCTTCCTGCGCGGGGAGGAGGAAAGTGAGACGCTAGGGTTTTAATTTTAATTTTCGGTCCTACGCCCAATGCTGGGGGCCTGGGGCCTCTCACTATGGGCCTTAAATGGGTGCATTATGTAACCCTACAGCACAGTACAATTGGCTTTTATGGCCCAATATGAACAAGAACTATAGGCTTCCTTTCTTTCACCTTGAGACCGTGCTTAGGGGCTGTTTGGTTGTATGTTTTTACCATGTAAAAGGATGGAAAATGTAAAAAAGTAGGTCCCAATGTCAGCTTTTATCACTTTACATTGTTTGTTTAAATTCTCTTTTACATGAAAAGCTTACACATTTTGATGAGATGTCACTGAAAGCAAAATCACCAAAATTAGGAGTGATTTTGTTAGAAATCTGACACAATGTCATAAATGTCTCCAAAAACATAATAAAAAAAATCAAAACCTTGTAGAAAGTGGTGAGGTGGATAACCACTTTCCATTTTGTGTCATAAATACTCTAGTTTACATTATACTATCCAAACAATATAATATTATTATTTTAGGATTCACAAAGATTCCTCAACAAACAATGTAAACACTTGAATAGAAAGTGGTGAGGTGGATAACCACTTTCTATTTTGTGTCATAAATACTCTAGTTTCCTAAAGGCATCCAAACAGCCCCTTAGCATCTAAACGCTTGTTTGACAAACTCCTCGAAACTCGGCGGGACTGATAATGTTCCAGTTTTGAGATAAATTGATTCTAATTTGATTCAGTGGAGGGGTGAATAAGAAAAGAGTCAATTTTAGACTCTTTTTCTAGCTTGGGGGGAAGGGACAGATTTGACCCAGTTTTTTTCCTAAACAAGTTTCTCATCAAACATTCTATGAGACTGCCAAAACAGATTGTTCCTCAAAATGAGAGACTAGGTTTAACCTTAAACTAGTTCTTTTGTGAACCAACCCCTCCTTGGCTTACAATTGATCTAGTTTAAAATAAAACTAGGTCATGATTGACCGTTGCTCTAATTTTGTAAGATTTGTCAAGCACACTCGGACTTCTGGCAATTCAATATGTGTGTCAATTCTCGCAATTCAATATGTGTGTCCATGCGTTGATGCGTACAATATACCCAAATTTATATCTGTTGTACTTAGAATCATAATAAAAATTTCGGGAAAAAAACTAAAAATATTTGTACAAAGTAAACGAAACAAGCTTCACACAAAAAGGATATTATAACGTATAACTTGGAAAAGATGTAACTATTTTTTTACGGGTTGAAATGAATATAAATTGATTTTTATAAATTTTCTTAATTAAATATAAATGATTCTTCAGCTTTTTTTTTGTATGACTATTTATTAATTAATTAAAGTAAAACTTAATTCAGTTAACATACATTTTTATGCAAGTTTAAGACTTATCATGAAATTATCAAAAAGAGTATACCCGGGTAGTAATATACATAAATACAGCCTAGAGTATTAAAATTGGCCTTATCAAATATGATATGTCATCGATATCTGAAATTGGTCTCTTAAACAGGAGCGTTAGTCTTCTGTCTGTATACAAAGTACTCAGCAACTATGCTCCATGTACTGGCTATCGCACGTAAAGTGAAATAATAATGCATGGACTCGGCCAAAATTAGAAAAAGAAACGAACTAAACTTTGTCAAAGACAACTAAATATACAAATATATCCATACCATGATGAAGATTAATTATACTTGTACTAATCTTAAATCCTTTTACAGCTATATACATGCAAATGCTAATTATATATATTCTCCACCAATCATTTCCCCAGCACTTACTCCCCCTTTGCTCTAACCCCCGTGATTGCCCTCGTCAACCGTGCGGGTGTCATGGCATCACGGTCTACAGACTGCTGAGGTGGCAGCTATCCAAAAGCAACCAATTATATAGGAGGGGAGGGGGGCACCAAAAGAATCATCACATAAAAATACACTATATATATCCATTTTATTTAATTTCATCTCCTCTCCAAGTGTCACAAACACAAAGTTAGAACAAGATGCCTCAAACACATCACCGATAATCTTAATAATTTTAAACCAAGGCTGGTCAGTGGGCGAAGCATGTGGGTTTTGTTCGCACCTACTCTCCGAGGCTTCTGTCCGTGAGCAAGTACGGGCATCGCACGTGCTAAAAAAAGCACACGGGTTCAATGAATCTTTGTTTCGTATCGCTATTTCTCGTACGTATAGTGTGTCCAGGACAAGATTTGAGGGAATATTTATTTGTCGTATTTGTACTTCGGCTCTAGTATAATATTGTATACGTTATCAAGTTGGTATATGTGTGTCGTGCCGCAGGACAGCCGGGTGGCCCGGGGAGATCCGTAGATTCTCGATGGATGTCGGAGATCGAAGGATTAATGGATGGATGTGATCTTCTACCTTCCAATTGTCGTATTCTACGTTTTCATTATCGTACATGAGATTGCAAACCCACGGTCTTCATTCGGTGTTTTTTCCCGAATGACACTAAAAATGATACGTGCATTAATTAGAGAAATCTATGTTCAAATTCTACCCCACACCCATTTAAACTGATTAAAGTATATACACTGCCGGGATTTACGTCCATGAAAATAGCACTCTATACGTGCACTCAAAAAAGAAATTACAAATTTATATATTGTTGCTTAAAATGCTGTCCTCTTTTTACTATGCATAAAAAGGGCACTCCGCATTGATATCGTAACTAAATGAATTTTAGAAATGCGTTATAAAATAGCCTAGATCGTTTGTTCTTTTTTTTAAATAAAAAATAACACTGTGCTGCTTAAAGTAGTTCAACCTTTAATTTGCTTGTAAACGGCACGCTCAATTGGGATAAGGTACATATCAGAGTATAAAACCAGAGCTCTGAAATTATTATCATAACTTTGGATTTTTGGAGCAGTACGTAGAAGGTCGTATTACAGTTCAAAGTTAATGAGCCAGCTGCATGAATATTAAAAAAAATTAAACTACTCAATTGTCTATGAATGCGCATGCAATTGAATGAATCAGGCTAGTGAGATAAAAGTAGGAAGCATGCAGCCCCTGCAGGTACATTTTTGGACGGCAAAAGCCCCCAAAACAACTAAGGCAGAGCTGTAGAATCTCTCTCGAGCAAGGCCAACGCTTCCTTTTTACCCATTTTAAGTCATTGTTTTGTGTTAGTTTATTTAGCTGAGACATTTGGGTAATTATTTTATGCTCGAAGAGCTGACAAAAGCAATCGGGAACAGACAATCAACTCTGAGTCCCTTGATTGGCGCGATCCCAGCTCACACTCTCTTTTAGCATCTAATTCAGAAAGTGTCAAATTAATTAGGAAGTTGTAGCTTTGACAGTTAGCGCATAGCAATGCTTTATTATATTTATAAAATAGAAAATTAGAAAGTGTACTTTTTTGTGCTTGCAAAGGTTAACTACATTTGAGAGTAGTAGTTTATGAGGCTTACATCATTTGAGGAGGTACCTTCTTATAATTAGTTCTAGAAAAAGTAGGCGTTCAATTAGAGTTTGATTAAATTTTTTAATTTTTTTCCTAAGAGTATAAAATAGTTTTAATATGATTATTATAGTATGATACTTACGCGAGGGGCCAAAAAAAGAAAAAAGAAAAAACTTTAGCAGTTTATCACTTCATCTACTCATCTTATAATGGATATATATCCTTACCAGTTACCACTGATTAATATTGAGGGGGTAACGTATTTTTCGCAAGGTATATACAAAGCTTATAATATTGCACGTAGTACACATATTAAATTGGTTTATTTTATATCATAATACATGGTTAAATATGTTCTACCAAAATTAAGTTTTAAACATGTTGAATGCCAGGAATTACACATGTAGTGACTGATCTAATGTTCATGCTTAACTTAAAGTATGATCCTTATGAAGTGTATCAACCATGCAGTGGGCGCTCATAGCATAAAATAACCATCTAGGATGTTTCGGGCATCCTAGACGGAAATTCCGTCTAGGATGTTTTGGGCATCGATCCTAGACGGAAATTCCGTCTAGGATCCAGACGGAAATTCCATCTAGCATCTCCGTCTGTGATGTTTTTATTTTATTTTTTTAATATATTAAAATCTATTCCATATACCATTTAAGTTTTTACTTCCAAATTCAATCACATTCATATGTATCACATAAATTTATTAAGAAAGCATAATATGAACACAAAAATATTCATTCAAAGATAAGAATAATTGTATAAAAAATAGAAAATATGTTATTAAAACAAACAATTACAACATTGAAGTTATTATTCACTCTAAAAGTTATTTTTTTCCCCTCTTAACAGTACAACTAATCCACCCCCAATTTAGAAATTCTCTTCACAAGCATCTCCCCCATAGTCTGCATTCCTAAAGAGTGCTTGCTTTATCTCTTTGGAACCTATCAATGCCCTCTGCTCCAAATCCTATAAACACAAACAAATTTAAACACAAAAATAACTATAATAATCCGTCTAGAATACTATCCAAGACGGAAATTCCGTCTAGGATAACAATATTCTAAACGGAACATCCTAGACGGATACATTCCGTCTAGAATGCTTGCATTTTAGACAGAAAAATTTCGTCTAGGATAATCCGTCTAGAATGCGCAGTTTTCTACTAGTGTCTTCTAGAGAGAAAAAAAATCAAATGAGAAGCCAATAGGGAACCCCATATCTTAAATAGGAGGTCCCACCCCTGGTAGCGAAGGTTGCACTAAAATGTAAATTAATCACAGATATCTGAGGCTCTGTTTGGATACCATTATGTTTTACTTGTTTCCATGGTATTTTTGACAAAAACAAAACACCATGGATTTGAAAACCATGATGCTTTTTGAGCTAAATCATCCTCAAACCAAAAACACAATACTTATTTCAAACACACATTTTAGGTGTTTTAAGTTGGTGTTTTGGTTTTAAGTTTGAGAAGGTGTTTATATAATATTTAACATAATATATTAAATATAGTTAATATATGTTTGCGTCAGGAACATGTTTTTTTGTAGATTCATTATAACTATTTATCGATTACAATGATGA